AATTAGAAGACGTGTCACCCATGCATCAATATGTTGTTTTACAAAAAAAGACATGTATTAGTGAATTACATAAATTTTAAAAAAAATTAATCAAACTGAAATATAAGAAATATAAGACTTACCCCCCATCGAAATAGCCGTTGTCTTCAACCCCTAAAAATACACCCCACCAAGACCATTCAATCAACAAATGCATATCATCGTTGAGTTTGTATATGTCAGTATAACACCCTTGGCTCCGCTCATGTAGATAAAAATCAACTGCGGTCTTAGCCCAAAGGGTATTATCCAGAATTGTTTCCGGTAGTTGTTTCCTCTCCTCTTCATCTGCCGGAATGGTACTGGCCGGTAACTTATACGAAAGCCAACAGTCATCCATCATGTCCGGCACGTGAGGGGGCTTCTCAATAATTCGATATATTACGCCGTGTGAATCGGGCTCTAGAATGTTGGGAGGGACCTCTTCAACGATGAAAGTGGCCTCTTGAACGGTGGGAGGGGACTCTTGAGGGATGATAGGGGCCTCTTGAACGATAGGGGAGGCCTCTTGAACGATGACAGGTGAGTCGGGCTTTTTCTTATGGATTCTTCGCACTATTAGGGTGAACGGAGACGTAATGGCACGTGCACACCGTCTGATGCGTGAACTCCATCTTGCAAGAAAAACCCGACGTAGAGCATCCACCTTAGCGGGCCACTAAAAATAAATTAATACATAAATCAGTAAATAAACAGACATGATATTAAACAGTGAGAACAAAGACAAATATATTTCAAACTTGCACGGTATTCACCCAAGTCATTATTATATCATTGTTCACAAAATGCATCAGATAACATTCCAGAAGTAAGCACTTAGATAAATATTTAAAAGGATAACATATATGTTTAGTGCAGGTTCAATGACAACATAAATAGTAGTAGTTTATTCTTGAAACTTAAATTTTCAACACTGTGAAGTTAGTATTTGTCTTTTGGTTGAAGTAATGCAATTCATTCAAGTTTCAATTTGCAGAAGAAGAATAGAATCTGAAACTTAAAATCGCAACACGAAAATGACTATCGCAATGCGAAAATGACTATCGCAATGCGAAAATGACTATCGCAATGCGAATTTGACTATCGCAACGAGAGAATCGCAATGCGAAATGAAAATCGCAACAACAAAATCGCAACGCGAAAATGACTATCGCAATGCGAATTTGACTATCGCAACGAGAGAATCGCAATGCGATTTTCATTTCACATTGCGATTCTTTCGTTGAGATAGTCAAATTTGCATTGCGATAGTCATTTTCGCATTGCGATAGTCATTTTCGCATTGCGATAGTCTTTTTCGCATTGCGATTCTCTCGTTGCGATAGTCATTTTCGCATTGCGATAGTAAACTATTCTTCTTCTGTTAATTGAAACTTGAATGGATTGCATTACTTCAACCAAAAGACAATAAAAACAAATACTAACTTCACAGGGTTAAAGAATAAACAGTTAAACAGTATTGGCAACAACCGAATGAATTTACTAAGCAATCTAAGTGAAATTACGAGTAAATTTATCATCAAGTTAAATATGAAAAATATTAAACTTACCTCGTTGCGTAGAGTATGAACCTCGTTCTGCAACGATGCTACAATCTCACGTAGAGCTGCTACCTCACCATGTAAAGTAGACACCTCAACACGCCATTTACCATTGTCATCACGTAAAGTACCGACCTCCTAACACAAGGCATTGACCTCATTACGTAACTCCCCTAACTCATCCCGTGGAGGTGGAGGTGGAGAACAGGGAGATAAATGTCGTGGCATCTTTACCGATCGCCTATCATGAGGTGATGGTGCAGAAGAGGCTCGATGATGTGACAGAATAGGTGATGACTCTCGTTGTGGAGGTGTATATTCGGGTCGATCAGGTGATGGCTCTGGGTGAGGTGATGGCTCTCGAAGTGGTGGTTGTTCATCATCCGTGCCATAAAAAAAAAGCTTACTAGCTTGCCACCAATCAGTGGCAAGCTCAGCTTCCGTGGGTGTCAGCCTCTGTAATGGAGTGTTGGCCTCCTAACAATATAAAAGCTCAAACAAAGTTAAATGTGTACTAGTAATAACTTGTTTATAAACATATGGTAGTATTTGTGTTAACTTACATTATTTATTGTAGTATACGGTAGTAAATCTTCCCATTGCTGCAAGGACCGTTTCCTCTTCCAGGAAATAGCCCTAGGAATATCATTAGAAGTTTTTAATGCATATGTTTGCATGGCGGGAAAGGCCTCAAATATCCAAATCTACAAACAATATAATAACAAACATTAGTAATTGTTAAAGAATTAATTATAATTTTGGAAACATTATATAAAAATTATTACCTTAAAGGCCCAAATAAAGCATGACAAAGTGTATTTGGAACCATCGCCACGCAAACTTTTCCGATCATTAAAGGCAGACGACAACTTATTCCATGTAGCTCTCCATAGATACGAACCCCACGAAAACAGGTTCCATGCATTTAGGTACTCTACCAATTTAATTAGATCATTAGGAATAGGTTGTTTGGCCTCTCTGACTAAAAAGCCGGCTTGCAAAAGTATTAGAAGGCATACTCGGACAACATCGGCGTCATTCATCCGAGTAAAACCATCTTTCTTATTCAATAATCTCGTCAAGTCTTCCACGTGTAAATTCGACTTCTCCGTTGACTGCTCAGGAAAAACCCAAGAAAACCATGATAGGCGGGTAATATGTCTAGTGTACCGATCTACATCATCGTGTCTAAAGCGTAGACCGGTGATTAAGCAAAACTCCTCCCGCTCAAAACACGTATAAGCCGGTGAAAAATCAAACCATATCTCTTCATCACGACGTTGTATAGTCTCTGGTAGATCGCTAGTCATGGTTTGAAGAAACAGATGGGTCAACATAGCATCTCCACCCGGATGTTGTACTTTCAGCCATGGCCCGAAGCAAGTATCCTCAAATATTTTTCTTTGTGCAGGTGAAAGCTTCGACGCAATTGTTTTGGCCAGGCTTAGTTTATTTCTTAAGGTCAATTGAGCTGAATAAAAGTTCTGCAAAAACAATAAACATACCAATTTAGATATACTAAAAACTACACTGTGAAGATATGAACAATAAACATAAAGAGTAGTAGTTTATTCTTCAAACTTAAATTTACAACACTATGAATTTAGTATTTGTTTTTTTGTTGAAGTAATGCAATTCATTCAAGTTTCAATTTGCAGAAGTAGAATAGTTTCTGAAACTTTAAATCGCAACACGAAAATGAAAATCGCAACACGAAAATGACTATCGCAACGCGAATTTGACTATCGCAATGCGAAATGAAAATCGCATTGCGATTCTCTCGTTGCGATAGTCAAATTCGCATTGCGATAGTCATTTTCGCGTTGCGATAGTCATTCTCGGTTTCAAATACTAAAATTAAAAGAAACTTGAATGGATTGCATTACTTTAACCAAAAGACAAAACAAAGACAAATACTAACTTCACAGGGTTAAAGACTAAACAATTTAGCAGTATTGGCAGCAGTAGAATGAATATAATAAGCAATCTAAGTGAAATGGTTAATCTATTATTGAAAACACCAGTAAACTTATCATCAATTTCAATATGAAAAACCTAATAATAATGCAAAAATTTCAAAAAAAAAAAAAACTAACACTCGGTGGTTGATTTGGTTGATTTTCCATTTCTGACCGTGAATGATTTCGCCGGAGATGGAGACTGTTATCGTCGTGGGGACTGATTTCATCGGAGATGGGGACGGATGTCGCCTTAGAGAGTGAGAGATGGAGATGAGACTGAGTTGTGATTTAGGGTTTTAGGTTATGAGTTGCGATTACGAGATATACTGTAGACGGTTCAGTGTTTCGATATATTAATATATTCGTGTTTGGAATTTGAAAAAAAAAATACGCGTTAATACGAATGGTGCTATGTAAATCGCATTGCGATAGTCAGATTCGCATTGCGATTTATGTAATCGCGTTGCGATTTACGAAAATCGCAACGCGAATTTGGGAAATCGCAATGCGATAGTCAGAATCGTGTTGCGAATCTGGAAACTGATTTGCGATACCGGAGATCGCGTTGCGAATTATCGATCGCATTGCGATTTAGTTGGTCATTTTGGCAAATCCAAAAAAAGTCAGTTAAAATCGTATATTATAAGGCATTTTTGGTCACTGAGGTTATTTTCTCTAAAGAAAATTATAATGATTATTTTTTTATAATTATAAATATTTCATTAATTAACTTAAATCGATTATAAAAATTTATTATAGATAAATTTTTTATCATATTTATTGTATTCATAATATTAATTTTGAATCTTAAACTCTGTTTATAAAATTCTAACATAAGTAAAAAATCTATCAATATGTTAGATCTTATAATTGATATATTGTAATGAAACTTTAATTTATCTTTTCTCTCATACATTATATTGTAATATAATATATATATATATATATTATTTATGCTTAAAATAAAATAAAAATTTATTTAATAATCTTTAAACTAAAAAACTTAAAATACTAATATTATATTTAAAAAATTAACATCACATCCCTAACAACACTACAAAAAATTATTTTATGATTCCAGTTCAACGTATCATCCATGATCCTAATGAATCATAACTATCAATTTTAAAATTACTTTTAAATAACTGTATATTCTTTATTAACGTATAGAAAAAAAAGTAAAGATTTATCTTTAAAAATTAAAATAAAAAATATTAGTAATTTGACCACAATAACATAAATAGCCGCTACCATCTAATAATTTTGCAGCGCTGCATATACGTTTGCAATTTACATCGTAATGGGAAAGGGACGGACGTTCCATAAAGGTGCCACATCGCCATAGCAGTGGCAGTTGTCCTTTGCCTTTTAAGTCATTTCCTGCTCTTCAACTTTTCTCTCAACACAACACAACACAACACAACAGAGCTGGTCTTCTTCTTCATTGAGCGACAGACAGCCCAGAATTTCATCAGAGAATATCGTAAGAAAGAAAAGAAAATAAAAGCAATGGCGGATTGGGGACCGGTGGTGATAGCGGTGGTTCTGTTAAGTCCGGGATTGTTGTTTCAGTTGCCGGGGAGGAACAGAGTGTTCGAGTTTGGGAACATGCAAACCAGTGCGGTTTCGATTCTCGTCCATACTATTATCTTCTTTGGTCTCATCACTATCTTCCTCGTCGCCATTGGTGTTCACGTCTACACTGGGTAGCCACCCCACCACCCATTACTTTCCTGTTTTTAATCAAGTTTGGTCGTTTTCTTTTTATTACGCTTCTGATTGCCTGATGTAATGTTTCTTGTTTTGGATAGTTATCTGATGGTTTTTGTAATGCAGATGATTGCTTAAATAACAAGTTTGTGTTTTTATTGTATGTTTGGACTCTGGGTTTTTTCTTCTGTTCTTGCTTCACCAACCCATAACACCAATACTTACTCACTTTTTTTGTTCAAAATGATTTGAATGTGATTCCTTCTATTTCCTTAAATATTTGTTAAATCTTATTAAATTGGATAATATTTCCTTAAGTATGTTTTAATGAGAATTGTTCCTTATGTATTGAATTTTCTTTATTTAAATATTTGTATCATATTTTTTTAACTAGAGATATAAGTATTCGTGGTATAAATTTATTAAATATTTTATTTTGAATTAACTTAACATTTAAATTGTGTTCCATACATTTAAATATTTAATAGTATTTGAACATTTATTATGTTTTTGTTGATACTATATTATGATACCTATAATATTAATAATTTAAATATATTATCTGATTGTTACTTTTATATTTTGTGTTAATTGATTTTAGAATGTCCGTTTAGAATTACGTTTGTTCTCAGTAATCTTCTATTCATTCGGCTTGATAGAGATTAAGAGATTGAAGCATATTCGAATACATAGATTTTACATGTTGGAGAGAAGAATTAAACAAAACAAACTATCAAGTATTATATTTTTTTACATATATTTAAAATAACATATATTGTGGTGTCATTTTTAGTTGTGAAAATATGATTATTCATTTAATATATTAAGTATATTGATACTATATTTTTATTTATTAAACTAAGGTGATAATATTTTTTTATTAAGCTAAGGTGATAGTATATTAAATATGATTTTTATAAAATTTAAATAGTGTAATAAAAATAATTTTATAATTTTTTATGTAATTATTTTTAATTTAACATCGAATGTTTGACTTTTTATAAATAAAATATGTCATGACAATTTAGTAAAATATGTATTCAGATGATCTTATATTTCATCAATCAAACATTGTAATATTGTAATATTACAATCATACCAAACAAACCAAATAAGATAATGTTAACATTCTTAATAATATGCTAGTTGATATTACATTCCGAGAATCATATTCTCAAATAATCTTACATCCCGTAAACCAAATGACACTAATAGTTTTGATAAAAGTAAAATTATCTCGTGATCATTGGCTAGGGTGACAAATTGCAGTCGATAATATAACCAATAGTTATGACTAGTTATAATTAATGTATGACACATACGGTTATTATAAGAAGTATCATAGCCTTAATACACAATTTTTAACAAAGGCATAATTTATCAGAACAAAAATCAAGCATCTGATTTGCTTGATGAACTGCAAACAACTATAACTATTTTATGTCTGAGACCACTAGCTATAATTACTATAAATATATTTTAACATATTTGAGAGAAAAAACTTCTTCACTTTCTTCTCCTTCGTTCCATATTTTCTCATTATATTTTCATTTCACTTGCATAGAAACATTAGCTAACGTACATTATCTGTAACCCCTAAATTAGACTTAGACTTACATAACCATTTAATGCTAGAAGACATTCGAAACTCCAAAACTAATAAACATTATTAAATAAATTACCGAAGAAAATCTAATATGTCAAATAAATATTAAAACATTCTTAGCAATCCAAAATAATAAATTAATGTCCAATTTCCTAGAATATTTAAACAAAAAATATTTTCAGAATAAAATACTGACAAAGTAATTGTCATAAAGTCCGAGAAAATGTCATATTTTATAAATAATGAAAACATGGAAATGTCGAACTCCAAGTACCAGTTCACCTATCTCAAATGTCTAAAATAAGAAATTAAGAGGAGTAAGCAATTAGACTTAGTGTCTCTAAAGTGCGAACATAAACAAGTAAAAGTATAGTATGAAGCATTCACAAAAATATATTAGTACATCAAATCATCAATAGTAATGATAGTTTAAAATGTTATGGAAATGCTCATGCATCCACTCGTACTCCAATTTCACTCAGAAGAGTTGGTTTCCCAGAACCACACTAAATTCAACCCACACACCATATAAGTGGGATCCACCACAAAGACAGAGACCACTGAATTTAAAAAATATCATTCACCCCATCGAGTGAATGCACTGCACTTCTCCTATCAGAAATCGTCCCAACATGGTATGCAAAATGACAAAATATTCGATGCCTAATCCAATCCTAATATTAATATTTCTGAAGCATATATTCAATCTGAAGCATGTATTTCAATTCCAATAATTCATCGCAACTGGATAATCAACATGCACAACAAAATTTTCAATTCCAACAGATTCACAAAACCACATGGCATAAAATCTTGAATACAGGTTAATCCCACAATCAAACATGCTCACAAAACAATTATTAGACAACCAAATAAATCAAGTAATCCAATCAATAAATATAGCACCGATAAGAGACACACCTCGATAAAGCTAATGTCGATAGTACCTTCTACCACAGTTAATTAGAACTGGTCGATCCGAATCAATGTCTACGATAAATAATTTTAATAAATAAATTATTCTAAAATTATCTACGAAACCTATGTACTAAAATTATCAATTAACACTCATAATCAACATGAGCAACTCGGGTCAGTTTGAAGTCAGCGGATAACGATGGAGGCGGAAGTGATAACTTAATTCCCGATTCGATATTTCCTGCAACATTACGATGCCGAATCAAATCCCCAATAAACGATTCCTATATCACTGCAATAATTATCGACGAACTATTTAAATAATTTCAGATCAATTCGGTAACAAAGGCAGTGGTTTCGGATCGAAAATAACGATATGCCAGAATGCTTAGACGAGGTTATCGGCGACGAGGGTGCCTCAGCAATAGTACCCAATGGTTGGTGGTGTCACACATGTGATATAATCGGGGGTGGGAAGTTTGATTTAAAAATGGTTTAATTACAAATCAATCTATTAAATTTCCTAGGTTTTTGAAATAAGCACAAAACTTCCAATTTTCAAAATTTAGTCTCAAACGAAATTTAGGGATTTAAGGTTTAAAATTTCCTAAAATTTTAAGGTTTTAATTTGGGGAAATTTTCGGGTGTTACAATTCTTCCCCTTAAAGAAAATTTCAGCCTCGGAATTTACCTGGAGGAAAGTGATGATGATATTGAGCCTTCATTGTCTTCTCGATCTCCTACGTGGACTCGTCATAACCTCTATTATGCCACAAGACCTTAACCATCTTAACAGTCTTCCTCCAAAGAACTTTTTCATCCCTATCGAGAATTTCAACTAGTTTTTTCTCGAATCTTAAGTTGGGTCAGATCTCGACCCTGTCCACATCTAAAATGTGAGACGGGTCGGCTCGATAACGTCTCAACACAAAAACATGGAAGACATCATGGATACGAGAAAGTTCAGGTGGTAACTCAAAATGATAAACAATCGATATGATACGATGAATAATTCGATAAGGCCTAATGAAACAAGGACTCAGTATACCTTTCCAACCAAAACATAATACCTTCTTCCACGGAGATACTTTCAAGAAGACTTCATCACCCACTACATACTCAATATCTCGATGTTTCATATCATCATAGGATTTCTATCTATTAGAAGCAATCTTTAGGCCAATATTAAGATGGCTCCGTACGAGGCTTTGTACGGACAACGGTAAAAACTCCCCCTAACTGTCGCTATAATCGATAACGCAACCTCTTACCATGTCTTGGAATCTGAATCACCCGCTCTGACTGACCATCTATCTGCTGATGGTAAAAAGTACTAAAATTTAATCGTGTACCAAGTGCACTATGCAGAGACTTCAAGAACTTCAAGGTAAACCTCAAGTCACGATCTAAGATTATGGATAACGGTACCTCATGCAAACAGATAATCTCATAAATACAAAGTCGTGCTAATTTATTTAGAGAGTAATCAACTCGAACCGGAATAAAATGAATAGATTTGGTAAGACGCTGATGCTCTGCCTTCACTTTCTGACAAGTCAAACACCAACACATATAACTTACGATATCCCGTTTAAGTCATTTCCACCGATACCTCTCTCGGAGATTCCTATACATTTTGTCTCCACCATGATGCATAGAGTACGGACTATCATGAGCCTCACGAAGGATAACTTGCTTTAAACAAGAATTCCTCGAAATGTAGTACATACCTCTGAAACACATAATATTGTCCTAATCAACTGTAAAACCATGAGATGCACTATTCTCAATCTATCTAATTCGATGAATCAAAAATGGATCGTTATGTTGTTCCACACAGATATAGGAAGCAAGAGTATGAACTATACACAACTCTGCCAATAGACTACCATACTTATACAAACTCATTCGAGCAAACTAAGCCCTTAAATCTGCAATAGCATTACAACTTAATGCATCGACAACCACATTAGCTTTGTCGGGGTGATACTCGATTTCACATTCATAATCCTTGAGCAATTCTAACCACAACCGATGTCTCAACTTAAGCTCAATTTGAGTGAGAAGATACTAGTGTAAATGTAACACTTCTCATCGTAAAGATAGTGTCGCCAAATCTTTAGGGAAAAGATCATGTTTTCCAACTCAAGATCATGGATAGAGTAGTTACACTCAAGAGTCTTCAACTGCCGCGATGCATAAGTCACTATCTTCCCCTCCTATATAAGTACATATTCTAATCTAGTGTGAGACGAATCACTATACACAATATAAGCCTTACCGAGTACAGGATGAATTAGAACCGGTGCTTCAGTCAACACAATTTTTAGCCTTTTAAAACTGGATCGTTGGTCCTCAGTCCAAACATAAGGAACATTCTTTCGAAAAAGCTTCGTTAAAGGGGCAGCGCTGAGGGAAAACCTTCCATAAACCTCTATTAATAACCAGCTAGACCTAAGAAACTTTGAACCTCCAG